ACCTTAGGGCCTCCAGGTCATCTGTGAGGTGTGTTCCAAGCCAAGTCAAACAGTCACGCTTTGCACATACCTGTATACACACACACACACACACACACACACACACACACACACACACACAGAGGCTGGTAGGACGGGTGACAGGCCTGAATGTGACCAAGGGGCTTTGTTAGGGGAGTCAGAGGAAGACACACGTCAGACACCATCACGGGGGTTAGAAAGAACGCAGGAGCGGCCAGGCATGGTGGCTCAAGCCTGTAATCCCAGCACTTTGGGAGGCCGAGGCGGGTGGATCACGAGGTCAAGAGATCGAGATCATCCTGGTCAACATGGTGAAACCCAATCTCTACTAAAAATACAAAAAATCAGCTGGGCATGGTGGCGCGTGCCTGTAATCCCAGCTACTCAGGAGGCTGAGGCAGGAGAATTGCCTGAACCCAGGAGGCGGAGGTTGCGGTGAGCCGAGATCACACCATTGCACTCCAGCCTGGGTAACAAGAGCGAAACTCCGTCTCAAAAAAAAAAAAAAAAAGAAAGAACACAGGAGCATCTCTACTGCTGAAGGATGGGAAATCCGTGGACACAAGAAGAGGTGGGACACAGCTGCTGGTAACAGTGAGGACAGACCTGGGCTCTATGGAGCTGACTAGCATCTCACCTGCAGCCCCTCCCACAGCCTCTAATCACAGCCAAAAACTGACAGGGGGAACATCTGCACTGGCTGCGTGGAACCTCTTCCCGCCATCCAGTTACAATCAGGCAGCCACGTCGCTTTTAAGGAACACAGAGTCATTTCTGGAACGAAGACCGGAACCACATGGATCAGAAGGACAAAGCACAAGCCATGCATTTTTCTTTTTTTTTTTTTTTTTTTTTTTTTTTTTGAGACGGAGTTTCGCTCTTGTTACCCAGGCTGGAGTGCAATGGCGCGATCTCGGCTCACCGCAACCTCCGCCTCCTGGGTTCAGGCAATTCTCCTGCCTCAGCCTCCTGAGTAGCTGGGATTATAGGCACGCACCAACATGCCCAGCTAATTTTTTGTATTTTTAGTAGAGACGGGGTTTCACCATGTTGACCAGGTTGGTCTCGATCTCTCGACCTCGTGATCCACCCGCCTCGGCCTCCCAAAGTGCTGGGATTACAGGCTTGAGCCACCGCGCCCGGCCAAAATGCTAACAACCCGGCAGACCTTGGCTGCCCCTGGCAGAGCCTCCGAGGAAGGAGAGAGCCCTGTGGTTACCAGGCCAGGTGGAATCTGTGATGTCACGGCCTCCTTCCACAAGAAACGCATCGGCCTGGCCTTTGCCCAGGCTGTTCCTTCTGTCGGAACCTTCCCTCCACCATCTGCGTGGTCGTTCCTAGTAGGTTTCCAGACCCACTGGAGCGCAGCGTACTTAGCCTTCCCTGATCTCTCCAATGACGCGGAATCTCACTACCACAGCCCCAGCACGGGCAGCTTTGCATTCAGAGCACTCGCAGTTCAGCTGACGTCCAGCTGTACCATCAGGGTGAGTCTCCACTCCATATCTACAAGCTCCACAAGGGTAGGATGTATCTGTTTTTATTCAAGATTGTGTCCCCAGTCCCAGGACAGAATGCAGTCCAGGCATGCAGTCAGCCCTCAGTAAACACGTTCACTCAGTAATGAATGAATAAATGAATTAAGAGACAGAGCTCTCCACACCCACACGCAGTGGGAAATCAGACATCTATTCAGGACCACTGGCTTACGGTCATCCCGATACTTAGCTCAAGAAGCACGGCTCCTACCCCCAGGCACGGCCACCTAAAGTCTCTCTGCAGAAGGCCAGACATGGCCTTCTGAGTATGATACAACCTCTCTGACATCACAAATGCAGAGGGACACATAAGTCAACCCGGCCACCTCCCTGACATCACCCACTGCAGAGAGTCACACAGGAGCACACAGAGACCTCCCTGACATCACCCACTGCAGAGGGTCACATGGGAGCACACAGAGACCTCCCTGACATCACCCACTGAAGAGGACACACAGGAGCACACAGAGACCTCCCTGACATCACCCACTGAAGAGGGACACACAGGAGCACCCGGCCACCTCCCTGACATCACCCACTACAGAGGGACACACAAGAGCACCTGGCCACCTCCCTGATATCACCCACTGCAGAGGGTCACACAGGAGCACCCAGCCACCTCTCTGACACCACCCACTACAGAGGGACACACTGGAGCACACAGAGACCTCCCTGACATCACCCACTGCAGAGGGACACACAGGAGCGCCCGGTCACGTCCCTGACATCACCAACTTGGTGCCTTTCCTTCTCGTCTTGTAGGCAATGCCATGTCCCTCAACTTTTGTTTGGAAAGGAAACGGCTTTTATTTTTGCTGTTAGCAGGAGGCAGGGCCCCCCCAGACTGCCCTAGGATTAATGGACGGAGCCAGTCTATTAATATTCAGCCTTGGCATGGCCTGGAGGTTGGCCAGACACGCAATCTCTCAGCTCCCACTCAGACCCACTGAATCTAAATCTGCATGTTCATGAGATTGCCAGGTGATTCTCATGCGCACTTGGGATTGAGAGGTACCAATCTATAATTAAATATTAATTCTGTAAAACTTCAGCTCCAAACAAACCCATGTATGTATTCTAAATGGTGAAGAAAAAAGGTCAAAGGGCCTGATGAGGCTGGGCATGGCAGCTCACTCCTGTAATCCCAGCACTTTGGGAGGCTGAGACGGGTGGATCACCTGAGGTCAGGAGGTCAAGACCAGCCTGGCCAACATAGTGAAACCCCATCTCTACTAAAAACATAAAAATTAGCCAGGTATGGTGGCCTGTGCCTATAATCCCAGCTACTCGAGAGGCTGAGGCAGGAGAATTGTTTGAACTTGGGAGGTGGAGGTTGCAGTGAGCCAAGATCGTGCCACTGAACTCCAACCTGAGCAACAGTGCAAGACTCCGTCTCAAAAATAAAAAAAAATAAAAAAAAAAAAAAAATAGGCTGATGAGTTGCCTGTAGGTGCAGAACTTGTGGGTAAATCCGGATTTATCTTTCTTTCACTCTCTGTAACCCCAGGGGCACTGAGAACTCAATTATTAGGTGAATCTGTCTATGGCTGACAGATACAAAGAAAATGCATCTCAGACTGCCCAGTTAAGCATTTTGCTAATTAAAAACTTGGCTGGGTGAAGGCTGGGAAGGAGGCATTCACACAATAAAGAATAAAAACACAGTCTGTCTCATTAACAATCATTATTTCGGGACGGACGCAGCAGCTCAAGCCTGTCATCCCAGCACTTTGGGAGGCTGAGGCTGGTGGATCACTTGAGCCCAGGAGTTCAAGACCAGCCTGGGCCACACAGCAAAACCCATCTCTACTAAAAATAAAAAACATCAGAAGGGCGTGGTGGTGTGCACCTGTAATCCCAGCTATTTGGGAGGCTGAGGTGAGAGGATGGCTTGAACCTGGGAGGCAGAGGCTGCAGTGAGCAGAGATCGCACCACTGTACTCCAGCCTGGATGACACAGTGAGACCCTGACTTAAAAATACACATATAGGCCAGGCACGGTGGATCACGCCTGTAATCCTAGCACTTTGAGAGGCCAAGGCGGGTGGATCATGAGGTCAGAAGTTCAAGACCAGCCTGACCAACATGGTGAAATCTTATCTCTACTAAAAATATAAAAGTTAGGCAGGCATCTATAACCCCAGCTAATCCGGAGGCTGAGGCAGAAGAATTGCTTGAACCCAGGCAGCAGAGGTAGCGGTGAGCCGAGACTGCACCACTGCACTCCAGCCTGGGCGATAGAGTGAGACCCTGTCTCAAAAAAAAAAAAAAAAGAAAAAAAATATATATATATATATAATTTCTGAAAAACACCATGATTAGTACTCTAAGTCCTGGTTTACAACACTCTCAGGAAACTAATTTTCTCACCTAGAAGGTGATACCCATTCAGCCCACACTATTATGCCTCTTTACATACATTACCTACACATGCTCCCAACAATTATCTGAGCAAAGCCTTCCCATCCCCACTTTGCAGAAGAGAAAACTGAAACCCAATGACTCTGAGTGATGAAACTGAGGATCACTCTCAAGTCTTTCACAGTAAACCTTCGGGATAAGATTTTGGTGAAGTCATTTGAGAGGCTGTGCTCCATGTCCCAGTCATATTAGAACCCACCATGCCAGCAGTGAGAAGCAGCTGTTGTACTAAGACACTATTTCTTCTTCTTCTTATTTTATTTCTGTTGCCCAGGCTGGAGTGCAATAGTGCCATCTTGGCTCACTGCAACCTCTGTCTTGCGGGTTCAAACAATTCTCCTGCCTCAGCCTCCCCAGTAACTGGGATCACAAGTATGCGCCACCACACCTGGCTGACCTTTCTATTTTTAGTAGAGATGGGGTTTTGCCATGTTGGCCAGGCTGTTCTCAAACTCCTGACTCAGGTGATCTGCCTGCCTTGGCCTCCCAAAGTGCTGGGATTACAGGCGTGAGCCACCACAACCAGCCCCACAATACTTATGTTTAAAAAGTGGCTTAGGCCGGGCGCGGTGGCTCAAGCCTGTAATCCCAGCACTTTGGGAGGCCGAGGCGGGTGGATCACGAGGTCAAGAGATCGAGACCATCCTGGTCAACTTGGTGAAACCCCATCTCTACTAAAAATACAAAAAATTAGCTGGGCATGGTGGCTGCGTGCCTGTAATCCCAGCTACTCAGGAGGCTGAGGCAGGAGAATTGCCTGAACCCGGGAGGCGGAGGTTGCGGTGAGCCGAGATCGCGCCATTGCGCTCCAGCCTGGGTAACAAGAGCGAAACTCCGTCTCAAAAAAAAAAAAAAAAAAAGTGGCTTAGAATTCACACCGTGACAATTCTAAGATGTTGAGGACGATGCACATTATACTCATGGAAATAATGACGTCCTTCTTAAAGGAAAGCCAGAGGTGCGGTGAGCCTGGGGAGCAGGTGTCCAGGAGCCGCACGGAGCCAGGGCTGGAGCACCTACCTTGGATTCCGTAGAGCCGGTTGAGGCGCGACCGCCGAGCCTCGTCAGTGTAGGGGACAGCCAGCCAGGGCATCTCACTGAAGTACTGTTTGAAGGACTCCTCCGACCTACAGAGAGACACATGTGGCAGGCAGGGCTCTTATGATCATCCCGCCTGCACCACCGCCGAATCCTCCCCACCTGGACCACCGCTGAGTCCTCCCACCTGCACCACCGCTGAGTCCTCCCCTCCCGGACCACTGCTGAGTCCTCCCCTCCCAGACCACCACTGAGTCCTCCCCACCTGGACCACCGCTGAGTCCTCCCACCTGCACCACCGCTGAGTCCTCCCCTCCCGGACCACTGCTGAGTCCTCCCCTCCCAGACCACCGCTGAGTCCTCCCCGCCTGGACCACCGCTGAGTCCTCCCATCTGGACCACCGCTGAGTCCTCCCCACTGCACCAGCGCTGAGTCCTTCCGCCACACCACTGCTGAGTCTTCCCGCCACACCACCGCTGAGTCCTCCCACCTGACCCACCGCTGAGTCCTCCCGCCTGCACCACCCCTGAGTCCTCCCACCTTGCCCGAGTTCTGCCCAGGGTTTCTGCAGACGTTGGAGTTTCCAACCCCTATGCTTCTCAGACACCAGGCTACGGGGGTGTGTTCTTCCACGTGTGCTGGTGTCCACCCAGAAGCAAATGCCTCTGCACAGCAGGTGGGTCCTCTCACTAAGAAGCCAGGCCACTTCACAGCTCCCATCCCAGCAATTTAACTCATGTCTAGCTTTCCATTTCTCAACACAGACACTGGGGAGTTTCGATGTACACAGGCACTGTATACCCATGAGAGTTCTAGTTTGTGCATGAAACAGCGACTTACACGGGTCCACAAATTTAAGAACCTATGATTCTACAGGTAAAAAGCCCTCAGAAAGACACACCCAAGTGGCAGAAGGTGGATGGGGATTCCTTGGGGCTGGGGTTTATGGGTAGAGACTGACCCATGGAACCTACACAGTGACAAAAATGTTCTGTATCTTATCTGTGATGGTGGTGATTACATGCGCACGTACATTACTCAACTGTAAACCTAAAAGGCATGCATTTTATAACATAAATTATGCTTCAATAAAGTTGAAGCTTAAAGCTTTCAAAAATGATTGTGGCCAGGTATGATGGCTCATGCCTGTAATCCCATCACTTTGGGAGGTCAGGGTGGGCGGATTACATAAGCCCTGGAGCTCAAGACCAGTCAGGAAACATGGCAAAACCCCATCTCTACTAAAAATACAAAAATCAGCCAGGTGTGGTGGTGTGTGTCTATAGTCCCAGCTGCTCGGGAGGTTGAGGTGGGAGGATCACTTGAACGCGGGAAGCGGAGGTTGCAGTGACCTGAGATTGCACCACTGCACTCCAGCCTGGGTGACAGAGAGAGAGACTCAGTCTCAAAAAAACTGACAGCCGCACCTGGCACAGCTTCAGGCTGAGATGGGAGCCGCGGCACGGCAGAGCGGGACTGCGGGCCGGGCCGACAGCGCGCCCAGGATGGCGTGGACATGGCAGATGGAACAAGAGCAAAGTGCCCTCCGTGTGCCAGCACCTCAGTCCTGCTGTGAACAGGAACGTAAGTGGCAGAGGCGGCAGGTGACTCCATCCATACTGGGAGGAGGTTTTGAGATGCAGGAAGCTTGCTAGTAAGAGAGGCCTTAGCGAGGGGGACCCGACTTACTCCAGGAAGAATGTCCGCCCTTCCTGTTTTGTGGTTCCTTATTTGTGTGCATTCAAACAGCACTGCACACAGTGCGTGGCCAGAGCTAAGAAAACAGCCACCCAAGACAGGTGTCCGGTTACGTCAGTCTCCGGCTCCTTCCCACCTTCCCCCTTCCTTGTCTTTTCACCACAATCTGCAAAGCTGAGCAAATCAGAAGATGCGTCCTAATCTCAAACAATCCAGGCCTGAATGGGGACATACTCCAGGATTTATGACAAGAGGTTCTCAGCCAGGAGCAGAGGCTCACATCATCTATCAGCACTTTGGGAGGCCAAGGCGGGTGGATCATGAGGTCAGGAGTTCAAGACCAGCCTGGCCAGCATAGCGAAACCATGTCTCTACTAAAAACTACAAAAATTAGCCGGGCATGGTGGTGGGCGCCTGTAATCCCAGCTACTAGGGAGGCTGAGGCAGGAGAACTGCTTGCACCCGGGAGGTGGATGATGCAGTGAGCCGAGATCATGCCACTGCACTCCAGCCTGGTGACAGAGTGACACTCCATCTCAAAACCAAAAAAAAAGATGTCAGCCACCCACAGAAAAGGGGCCCGGCGAGGTTTGTCACCACGCGACTGACCTGTCTGCACTAACAAAGATGATCTCGAAGTTCTGGCCGGCCTCCTTGATCTTCCGGTAGGATTCCACCAGCACCCGAGTGAGGCTTCGGCAGGGCGGACACTGAAAGGCAGGACGGTGAGACCCGCTGTGACGACCCTTCTCCATGTCCCACCACTCACCATCGGAGGCCAGAGGAGCAGGATGAATGGGATCGGGACAGCAACATCCCGTTCACGAGAGGGGTGGACGTGAGACGTGCTATCCGGGGGCTGAGGCAGGAAGATGGCTCGAGCCTCAGCGTATGAGGCCGGCCTGGGCAACAGAGAAAGACCTAGTCTCTTGAATGAATGAAAGTGAATGATGAGACAAAAATAAACTTGCCTCTCTTAAAGGTGAGCATCCAGCACAAGCGTGCACACTGTCCCTGTGCAGTGTGAGCAGGCAGCGGGCAGCATGGACTCACCCGCATGGATTAAAAGGAATATCCAGGCCGGGCGTGGCAGCCCACACCTGTAACCCCAGCCCTTTGGGAAGCCGAGGTGGGGGGATCACTTGAGGTCAGGAGTTCGAGACCAGCCTAGCCAACATGGTAAAACCCTGTCTCTACTAAAAATGCAAAAATTAGCAGGGCTTGGCAGTATGTGCCTATCGTCCTAGCTCCTTGAAAGGCTGAGGCTGGAGAATCACTTGAACCCGGGACGTGGAGGGTGCAGTGAGCCAAGATTACACCACTGCACTCCAGCCTGGGTAATAAAGCGAGACACTGTCTCAAAAAAAAAAGAAGAGGGCCGGGCACAGTGGCTCATGTCTGTAATCCCAGCACTTTGGGAGGCCAAGGCAGGCGGGTTCCATACCAGCCTGGGTCAGGGTTCCATACCAGCCTGGCCAACATGGTAAAACCCCATCTCTACTAAAAATACAAAATTGCCTGGGTGTGGCAGCACATGCCTGTAATGCCAGCTACTCGGGAGGCTGAGGCAGGAGAATCGCTTGAACCCAGGAGGTGGAGGATGCAGTGAGCCAAGATCACACCACTGCACTCCAGCCTGGGCGACAGAGCGAGACCCTGTCTCAGGCAAAAAAAAAAAATAGACTATTTTATAGACCCATCCAAAGAATTCATTTATTGCTGCTTTTTTCATTCACAATCGTATTGCCAAGCAGGCCTCGGGCACAGGAGAAGCTGGAAACTCCTGCCTGGCCATCTCACTCCCAGAGACCAGCCACAGCCGGGCTTGCTGGCCACCTCACCGCTTCCTTCTGTCCGAAAGAAAGGGGGGCCAAACACTCACCCAGTGTGCCGAGAAGTAGACGCCCACGTGGGAGCCCTCCAGGCTGCTGCTCTCCAGGGACTGCCCGCTACTTCTCAGCAAGGGCCCAGCGATGACCTCCCTGAATGGTTTAGGGCCCCAGGGGAACTCCAGACCTGAAACGGAAAACAGACGGTGAGCGGTTACGACTCTCCGTGATGGCCTAGGACCCAGGAGGCCTCAGTGCAGCAGGCATGATGACATTGTCACGTGGAATTTGTTCACATGTCCACAGGCTCTGCAGCTGACACAGGAATCAAAGGGGAACCACCACCTGCCCTCCAGGCAACGCTTCCCAAACCCAGATGGTCACTGTCTTCTGGGGGCTTCTGAGAAGTCCGCATGCCCAGGTCACATCCTGAGGTTGGAGAGTTAGGGGCAACGCAGCGATGTCTGTGCAAAACCAAACAGGCTCTGCAGTCACTCTGATGGCGAGCTCGGTGTAGACACTGCCCCAGGGTCCACCTGATACCCAGGACTGTGGATTCAATCCCAGCTATCCCATCTCGGTAGTCCCCAGCTGGGGGATTTTAAAATGCAAGGGTACTGGGCCACAACCTGAGATTCTGATTCAATGGCTCTTGACAGGGCTGAGGGAACCAAGTGAGAATTTAAGTCTAATAAAAGAAAAGAGTAAAGCCCACCCAGCCCAGATGCTCCATGTTCTGACGGCAGCTAAGCTCCAGGTGGAGAGACTGAATAACACGCCCCCGACTCAACTCAACACTGTTTTCTTACCGCATGGTCCAGGGACCACTGCAAGGAGAGCACAGGCTGGCTGAACACGCAGGTGGTCAGGTCTCTCGGAAATAAGCAGAATCCACCACCCTCTGGAGGTTGGGCTCAGGAGTCCACACCCGGCCAGGCTCCCCGGCTGCCCCCATAATTCCAGCACTTGGGAGGCCGAGGCGGGTGGATTGCTTGTGCCGAAAACTTTGAGACCAGCCTGGGCAGCCTAGGGTGACCCCGTCTTACAAATCATGAAAACCCAGCTGATGTGGTGGTACACACCTGTAGTCCCAGTCACGTAGGAGGATCAGGTGAGCTTGGGAGGTCCAGGCTGCAGTGAACTGTGATCACACCACAGCACTCGGCCCAGGAGAGACAGAGACAGTCTCCAAACAAAGGAAAAGGTTCGTGTTTGCTTCCACCACGCCCTGGTTTTTACTGAGGGCAATTCTTTGAAGTAGGTAACTTTTTAAACTTTATTTATTTATTTATTTGGAGACAGAGTCTTGCTCTGTCATCTAGGCTGGAGTGTAGTGGCGTGATCGCAGCTCACAGCAACCTCCACCTCCTGGGTTCAAGTCATTCTCCCACCTCAGCCTCCCAAGTAGCTGAGGCTGCAGGTGTCCGCCAACACACTGGCTAATTTTTCTATTTTGAGTAGAGATGGGGTTTCTCCATGTTGGTCACACTGGTCTTGAACTCCTCCTGATCTCCTGATTTGCCCGCCTCAGCCTCCCAAAGTGCTGGGATTACAAGTGTGAGCCACTGCACCAGTCTTTTTTTTTTTTTTTTTCCCTTGAGACAGAGTCCTGCTCTGTCGCCCAGGCTGGAGTGCAGTGGCGGAATCTCGGCTCACTGCAACCTCCATCTCTCAGGTTAAAGCGATTCTCCTGCCTCAGCCTCCTGAGTAGCTGGGACTACAGGCACCCACCATCATGCCTGGCTACTTTTTTTTTGTAATTTTAGTAGAGACAGGGTTTCACCATATTAGTCAGGCTGGTCTCAAACTCCTGACCTCAGGTGATGAGCTTTGGCCTCCCAAAGTGCTGGGATTACAGGCGTGCACCACCATGCCTGGCCTTTAGTGACATTTGAACTGGGAAAACGTGTGAGCAGTCTTGAATGTTCTCACTGAATGGATAAGGGAGGTAAGGAGATTCACAGCCCTGTTGTCACTCCAGTGCAGGAGGGAAAGCAGCCACGTGGACAGCCTTGAGTGGGACTGAAGGAGCAGCTCCATGTGCGGCCAGCGAGACTAAGGCCTGCAGGGCCGCAGCTCCAAGCATCAGGTGCGCTGACCGCCAAGCCAGGAAAGCTAGGCAGGCACTGGGACTTCGCTGTGTAACATTTTAAGGAGGAAAAACCCCACTCAACCTGCCTCTAGCTGTGAAGGGGCCGCTGCCACGGAAGCAGCACTAGAAGCCGGGATCTGAGCTCTCCGACGGCCTTTCCTCTCCCACTCTCCCACGGCCTCCTCGGGCCTCCGAGCCCGGCTCCTTTTTGTGGATTCCATCTCTTTTGGCCTGTGAATTGAAGTCCCGAGGAGGGACATTCCTATCCCCGTAAAAATCTTCTAACCATGGAGGATACTGTAATTTCACCAGAATGATACTCTCTTAGCCACGCACACCCATGTATGTATGTTTCACAAGTACTCCCTACCAATGGGGCAGAGACTAGGGGCGTGGGGAAGGGCGGGGTCAGGAGAGGACCCCACGCAAGGATTAGGGGAGGGCGGGGTCAGGAGAGGACCCCACGCAGGGTTTAGGAGAGGGGCGTGGGGGAAGGGCAGGATCAGGAGAGGACCCGACGCAAGGATTAGGGGAGGGGCGCGGGGGAGGCGCTCAGTCACGGTCACGGGACGCCCACCCGCTCGTGCCGAGGTCTTACCTTCCGGGTCGTCCCGGATCACCAGCAGCCCGTTCCTGCACACGACCTTCCCGGTGGTGGCGTCTAGGAATATTAGCGATGGAATGTTGGAAATTCGGTATTTGTTCCAGAGTTTGAGCTGCAGGAAAAAAGCCAAAGAAGGTGGTTAAGTCCAAACCAGATTCCCTGCAGAGTTCTTTAGAGCCTCTTAGGCCTGGAAGCTGGATGAACGGGCAAGCCTCAAAGCAAACAGAAAAGAATCATCGGTTCTACGCAGGGCTGCTGGGCAAACGGGCACGGTCACTACAACGCCGCTGCCCCCGTGGTCTGGGACAGTGCGGGGACTCCGAGGTGGAAATGATGGAAGACGACATTTATCCTGGAGGGGGCTGCCCTTCTACCTCTCTAAAAAGCATGAAGATGAAGATGGATTCTGCAAATTCACAGCACAATGAGACCACCACGTGGTTGAGGAAGGAAGGGAAGGTTTTCCACCCTGGCAGCAGCAACAGCAGCCAGCCACTCTGCCACGGCCCCTTGCCACCAAGGGAAAAGAGACGGGTTTTCCAGCAGAAGGCCACGGAGTTACAATTTGCCCCTCACCCTTTCACCAGGCCCCTGCTCCTGAACGATCACAGTCGCTGTTACACGTGCCTTTCAGCCTGCAGAAGACCAGAGAAGCCATGCCTAGAGCCAGCCCCGACCCCCAGCTCTTGGAGCCACAAAAAAACACGCTTCAGTCTCTCGGCCGATCCTTGAGGCTGGCCGTGCACACCGTCAGAGGTCCAGGGTCTCAGAGGAATGAAACCGAGAAAATGTGAATGCCAAGCCCAGCGTGGGAAGACAAGTATGGCCAGCCTCCTTTGTTGACTCACAGCCATCAGGGTGAATGCCATGTGGGTGGGCAACAGGGTGCTCCTGAACTTCACCGTCCAAGCCCCAAAAGCCACATAATTAAATGCAGTGTCTGGGCCGGGTACAGTGACTCATGCCTGTAGTCCCAGCACTTTGGGAAGCCAAGGCAGGAGGATCACCTGAGGTAAGGAGTTTGAGACCAGCCTGGCCAACATGGAGAAACCCTGTCTCTACTAAAAACACAAAAATTAGCCAGGCATGGTGACCCATGCTTGTAATTCCAGCTACTCGGGAGGCTGAGGCAGGAGAACTGCTCGAACCCAGGAGGTGGAGGTTCCAGGGAGCTGAGATCACACCACTGCACTCCAGCCTGGGTGACAGAGCGAGACACCATCTCAAAAAAATAAATAAATAAATGCGGCCGGGTGCAGTGGCTCACACTTGTAATCCCAGCACTTTGGGAGGCCAAGGCAGGCGGATCACAAGGTCAGGAGTTTGAGACCAGCCTGGCCAACATGGTGAAACCCCTTCTCTACTAAAAATACAAAAATTAGTCAGGGGTGGCGGTGCATGCCGGTAATCCCAGCTACTCAGGAGGCTGAGGCAGGAGAATCCCTTGAACCCCGGAGGTGGAGAGTGCAGTGAGCCGAGATCGCGTCATTGTACTCCAGCTGACAGAGCGAGACTCCATCTCAAAAAAAAAAAAAAAAAAAAAAGTCTAAGCTTTCCTAAGTGGTGAGTCATGGGTAATTTTTAATCTCAATTTTTGTGGTTTGCTATGTTTCCCAACTTCTTTCCAGTGATTTTTTCCCCCCAAGAATTATTTTTTGAACCAGGAAAATTCAATCATTTTCATCTTTTTTTTTTTTTTTTTTCTTTTTTTTTTTTGAGAGAGAGTCTCCCTCTGTCGCCAGGCTAGAGTGCAATGGTGCGATCTTGGCTCACTGCACCCTCCAACTCCTGGGTTCAAGCGATTCTTCTACCTCAGCCTCCCGAGTAGCTGAGACTACAGGCATGCATCACCACGCCCAGCTAATTTTTGTTATTTTTAGTAGAGACGGGATTTCACCATGTCGGCCAGGATGGTCTCAATCTCTTGACCTCGTGATCTGCCCACCTTAGCTTCTAAAAGTGCTGGAAGGACAGGCGTAAGCCACTGCATCCGGCCCGGACCATCTTACATCCCCACAGTGGAAATGAGAGAGCCTGCTTTCTAGTGCCCTTGCCAACATTATCACCTCATTTCTGTTGCTTATTTTTTTTTTTTAATTCCAGGATACATGTGCACCCATCAACCCATCATCTAGGTTTTAAGTCCTGCATGCTTTATGTATTTTTCCTAAAGCTGTCCCTCCCCTAGCCCCCCAGCCCACAACAGGCCCCAGTGTGTGATGTTCCCCTCCCTGTGTCCATGAGTCCTCATTATTCAGCTGCCCCTTATAAGTGAGAACATGAGGTGTTTGGTTTTCTGTTCCTATGTTAGTTTGCTGAGGATAATGGTTTACAGCTCCATCCATGCCCCTGCAAAGGGCATGAACTCATTCTTTTTATGGCTACATAGTATTCCATGGCATGTATGTACCACATTTTCTTATCTATCACTGATGGGCATTTGGGTTGGTTCCAAGTCTTTGCTATTGTAAATAGTGCCGAAAGGAGCATATGTGTGCATGTGTCTTCATAATACAACGATTTATAATCCTCTGGGTATATACCCAGTAACAGGATCGCTGGGTCAAATGGTATTTCTGGTTCTAGATCTCTGAGGAATCGCCACACTGTCTTCCATGATGGTTGAACTAATTTATACTCTCACCAACACTGTAAATGTTGCTTTTCGCTGACTTACTGATGTGTAGGAGATATGCTGTAGTGAGCACAGTTTTTTACCCCGCTATGTTTTATGACTGGCAAGTGCTAGAAGTCATTCAACAGATATTAACTAAGCACCTACTGTGCACCAGCCACGTTTGTCACATAGGTATACAAGCATCAAGGGAGGTGTGAGCCAGGGTGAGGAGCAGTCGAGGAGGAGTGAGCTTGAGAGGGAAAGTCAAGGCTGGAAGGTCAACCCCCAGGTGCTATTACATGTGCAAGTGGAGATTTCAAGTTACTAGATTTAGCGATAGAGACTCAGTGGGGATATAAAAGTCAGCATCGTCTGTGACAAGAAGAGAGTAATGGTCACAGGACTGGAAGAGGCCATCCAAGGAGCGGATAAGGCTACACACGAGACCCCAAGGCAGAGCCAGGGATCACAGACATGGGAGGCTGGGAAGAGGCACTGGGTGAGGAGGGGATAGGGGGCCCTGGAGTCCCAACAGCCAGGTAAAGAAAGTGCCTCGGAGAGGAGAGCGCGGGCGCCTGGTGTCAGATGCTGTGGAGATGCCAAGGACGATGAGGACAGAAAACAGGCCACGGAATATGGCAGAGTCACGTACCAAGCTGACGGGGTTGGGGGGCCAGTGAGGGGATGAGGCTGTGGCCGACTGGCCTGGAGGAGGGAAGGGTGGGTGCAGCTCTGCCCAGTGCACGCACCTCACGTGGGTCTGTGACCCCACAAACCTGAGTCCTCCTGCCAACATGGGACACAGAGGAGAGCCCTGCAGAGGAGAGAGGTTACACAGAGACAGAGAAAGTCGCAGAGAAGCGGCTGAGGTAATGACCACAGGATTCTCTTGACAGTCCCAGCCAGGTGTGGCATCTCACTCCTGTCATCCCAGTACTCCGGGAGGCCGAGGCAGGAGGCCTTGACTTCAGGTAGCTTGAGGCCAGGAGTTTGAGACCACCCTGGGTAATGTAGCGAGAACCTGTCTCTACAAAAAGCAAACAGTTCCACTGTAAAGGGAAGAGAAAAACAGGGCTGTGGCTAGAAAAGCATAAACGAGGCAAAAGCTGAAAAGGATGATGAAATGGGCTATCCAGTTACTTGAAAGGAAGTTATTTACTTATTTATTATTTTTATTTTTTTAAATTTATTTTTTGAGACGGAGTTTCCCTCTTGTTACCCAGGCTGGAGTGCAATGGCGCGATCTCAGCTCACCACAACCTCCACCTCCTGGGTTCAAGCAATTCTCCTGCCTCAGCCTCCCGAGTAGCTGGGATTACAGGCACACACCACCATGCCCAGCTAATTTTTTGTATTTTTAGTAGAGACGGGGTTTCACTATGTTGACCAGGATGGTCTCGATCCCTTGACCTCGTGATCCACCTGCCTCGGCCTCCCAAAGTGCTGGGATTACAGGCGTGAGCCACCGTGCCCGGCATAAGGAGGAAGGTATTTTAAAGCTGCTCTGGCCGGCGCGGTGGCTCACACCTGTAATTCCAGCACTTTGGGAGGTCCCTTTCAAAGAGGCCTCAAGAACTCTTTCTGACTCACAGTGGATTTTGCTTTTGGCCTCTCACAGAACTCCGACACCGCATCTGATTCTGAAAGGAATGTCTGCTTCATTTAAGACTGAAGTGTGAAATGCAGGCAGCCTAGCACAAAAGAGCATGGGAGGGACAAGGGCCGGGGAGTTCCCGGCAGCCTTTGAATCAGGAGGCAGGAGCGAGGGCAAGAGCTCACATTCTGCTGGCTGCTGGAGAAAAAAGGTGAATGGGGACGTGTGCCCTTCACAAGGGCTGTGCTAGGCCGGGCGCAGTGGCTCACGCCTGTTATCCCAGCACCTTGGGAGGCCGAGGCGGCTGGATCGCCTGAGCTCAGGAGTTCAAGACCAGCCTGGGCAACATGGAGAAACCCCGTCGCTCCACAAAAAAATACAAAAAATTAGCTGGGCGTGCTGGCCACTCCTGTAGCCCCAGCTACTTGAGAGGCTGAGGTGGGAGGAGGCCTTGAGCCCTGGGGTCGAGGCTACAGTGAGCTGTGATGTGGTCACTGCACCCCAGAATGAGTGACGGGGTGAGACCCTGTCTCAACAGGGCTGTGCTGCCCGTCACTGCAGCAGCTGGGAAATAGCAGATGACTCTACGTCCAGTGTTCACTCTGCCTAGAGATCACCCTGGCAACTTTCCCACCCAGGGTGCATTCTGTCCCTTTTTTCTTTTGAGACACAGTCTTGCTCTGCCACCCAGACTGGAGTACAGCTGCAGGATCTCAGCTCACTGCAACCTCCACCTTCTGGGTTCAAGCGGTTCTCCTGCCTCAGCCTCCTGAGTCACTGGGACTACAGTCGCACACCACCAGGCCTAGCTAATTTTTTGATGTTTTGTTGAGACAGGGTCTTGCTATTCGTCCCAAGGTGGTCTCGAACTCCTGAGCTGAAGCATTCCTCCTGTTTCCGC